TGTCCAAGTTTAGACATCCAGACTGATGATGTCAGCCGTTTTTCTTACTGTCCTCTTGGCTTTTGCTATTACTCTGCTGTCTGCCACTATGGTAGGGAGAGAAAACTGTATTTGAATGTAATATACAGAATGAAGACAAAGCAATAACTCATATAGAACCTTGGTTTCCTTCACATGTTATACTCCTTTCCTAATATTCTCTTTATTGAACTTAATGGCTCATTATCAGGAACTGTCTGTCATTACTGTTCCTGATGGATTAGCTGGTTGCTGGCATTTTTCTTTCTCTGAGACATTTTGAATGACTAGTGTTGGGCAAACCTTCATCCTTCATGGGATGTTTTAAAAAGACACAGGCAGTTCCTTTCCAGGAAAAGCTGCAGAATTCAGAAGACGCAGAGTCTCAAGCAGAATGTCCACCCACGTTTTCCAAAACCACACTTTGGTTGTATTTACACCACTGATATTAAGTTGCATGTAACATTGTTCCTGTTGCACTTTCTGCAGTCTTTCCCCATTCCCATCTGTGTGCCCCAAGAAAGCACAAATGATCTGCCTAGGCTGTGGGTTTCATGGCGAGCAGAGGACCAGGGACATGGCTGGATGGAGGTGAATGTGTGTGCTCCTGCTTGGCAGGAGGGAGAAGTGAGACCATGCTAAGGCTACTCCAGCTGCTGATTGCCCAAGCAAACACCAAGCCACATCCCTGCAGTTTCCCTTTCTTACCATGGTCCTATGTTCATGCTCCTCTTTCAAATCCTCCATGACAAAATCAAACTCTCCCCAACTGGAGGCCTGTCGTGGCCAATCTGCTAGAGTTATGACCCTGCAGGCACAAACCAAGGAAGGATCTCCACAAGGTGAACTTTACTAAAAATGCTAAACATACAGTTTAAAAGGATTAATGACTAAGTAGCTACAGTATGTGTTAGTTTTTCTTTATTATTCTAATTACTATATGTTTGTGACAAGCATCAGTCAACTCTACCAAGTTCCAGGCCTTGTGACTTCAGCCTTAAAGCTGACAAACATTAAGGATATTTGCCACCTCAGCACAGACCTGAGACAGGTCAAGACTGATGAGAGAGCAGGGAAGACTCTCCCTGTGCTGCGTGTGCCACCCAAGGGAACATGAACTGGGCGAGATGGGGTAGCCACGGTTCCTCCCACACAAAGATGAGCCAGTGCGGGTGAGAGGGTGGCAAAGAGCATGATTTCCTTTCTGCTCACTAGCAGAGTCTCTGTTGGGTCTCTGGGGTTGTACTTTGAGATTTAGAGTACAATTAAATCCTCAGCTACACTGTTTCTTTACTGTGGCCTAGAGAGCCTCTTCTCATCCATACCACTAAAGACGCTATTGCCTTCACTTTCTGACAAAGTTTTGATTTTTGCCTTTATGACTGTAGTGTCATAACCCTGTAAAGATTTTTGTGACCATGTTCCAGACTGTGATGACACTGAGATGGCAGAACGAGTCTGTTTGTCATACCATGCTCCAGACTGTAACGGTGCTTCACAAGCGATACAGGAGTGCCTGACGTTATCAACATGAGGCTGTGATGTTATTTTCTCAAAGCATCCCTGTGTATCTACGCTGGGTATTCCTACGTCTCAAATCTCCATTTACAGAGAAGAAACTAAGCCCCAGTTCTGCCCTGCTCACTGCCATGGCTTGTCCACAGCCAGTCAAGGCTTGTGCAGTGGTGCTTACTGGGTCTGGAGGCCACAGGGCTGCACAAGCCCCCGGGCCCTTATCAGTCGCAGCCCCACTGGGAAGCTGACTGCCGTCTGCAGAGCAGCCAAGAGGACAGAAAGCAAGTGAGAAACAAACCTACTGTGCTTATGACCATGAAAAACCTATTCCTTATGGCACAGATGTATCCAGAGCAACAAGAAAGTCTGCCTAAGAGGAAGCTGTAGGTGGGGAACCAAACTCTTTTCCAGAGACCTACACCAACATTACAGGGGACTATATCCCCTCTCCAGGGCACCACCCGCTTCCCACACAATGTATGTGCCCTTAGCCCTATACAATCACAATAAAAAGACATGGGGTGCTCTTGGGAGAACTATGCAGCACTTGCACTGTTCCTTAGCCTAAACTATTTGGTTCAACACTCCAGTCATAACACAAGGCTCATCATTTTGGGTAGCAGTAAATACTGTATGAGAGAAATTTTTTGTAAAAACAGCATATTCTCACTTTCACTTACAAACAAATGTTTATTTTTGTTGCATACAGATGGAGATTCAATGTTTTGAGATTCAGTATCAATACAGCCTTCTAGAAGCATTTTATAAGATGGGGGGGTAACAGCCTGAGAGTTACTAAAATCATATTTGGTAAATTTAGAGTCTAAGCAATACTCAAACAATGTAAAATAAAGAAGATACACCCAGTGTTCCTCTGAGACTTTGAGAGGCTGCTAAATATTTGGCATAAAAGTATTTGATTTTTCTGTCTTAAGACCATTGTATTTGGAAATGCGGGTGTGAATATATGTAGTGTGCAAAAATTTTAAGGCTTTTTTTTTTTTTTAATTGGAGCTATGCCCGCTTCAACATTTACTCTTGATTACTTCCTATTGACAGTTACTAAAACAAAGAGTGTATATTAATGCAGACTAGTTTCATTCATAGATGGTGAGCTGCAACAGGATTATTTGCAAGTGCAAAGATCACTCACATGAATAAAGATTTGGTGGATCAGTGATTCCACTGATAAAATGAATAAAATCCTTCTCCAAACACAATCCAAATATGTTTTCTTGTTACTTATCCAAGCAAGTCTATTTTGAGTTGTTCCAGCTTAATTAACTGAAAACACATAACTATTAATGAGAGCTCTGATAGGGCAGGAGAGGAAGCATGCTTCTCAGTGATCAACTTGCAGCCACCACACAAAAACCAGTTCTGTTTGTGCAGGAAAAGCAACCCCCTCCTGCTACATTATTCCATTGATCTACAAACATTTACATCTCCTTTGTTAACTAGTTTTCTGTAGAAATTTCATAATCACTAAGGAACGCTCTTACAACTGCATCTCAAGAAACTTCTGGTTTAGATTGGATCAGTCTGAAAAACAGGGTCTATTTTTGCCTTTAAGCCCAGCCATGTTACACTTGAAACCTGTTGGGCTTAGGCATTTATGATTCATTGTAAATAATTCAAATTGGATTTATAAAAGAGAAGAGGCTGTACAACGAACGTAAGAACTGCACATTACTACATCCCTGGCAGTCAAACCTAATAAAAAGTATTTCATAAAGCCCAATCATAAAATGCTCTCTCCTGCTTTCTCACATTGCTTTGTGATCTACATTCAGGATCAGGTGCTGAAAATGAACATTTTGGAGTATTTCTGTCCAACATAATAATAAAGTCTGTTAACAAGTTCTTGTGGCTATGGCAAAAGAATAGCCTCACCTGAATAAACTGTTATCCATACAATGTGCACTGAAACTAAACAAAGACATTATTAGTAGCTCACAAATAAACAAGAAACACCTCTGAAGTATCACTGTGGCAGCATTAACCTAAGGTGCATTGCCCTCCCATGTGAGTAACTAGGCTGCAACACACTACTATGGGAAGTGGAGACCAAGAACACACTATTTATTTATTCAGGTGTTTATTTATTCTAAGGACTAGGCACTTTTAAGAGTAACAAGTGTTCTGAGTTACAAAAGTTAATAACACATTTTGAAAAGTCATGTTCAGGCTTTAGGTTTCAGGATTTAAATCCTATATTTAAGATACCCTATAAATGTGATGCTGGTGCTGCATAGTATGAGCGACTGCAGACAATACAAACCTGGCTTTATGCATCCAATTTTGTATTAAAAAAGTGATCAGCAGGTGAAGATTTGCCTTAAGAACAGCTAATGAGAAGCAGTTTTTTGGTTTTATTATGTACACCTACAAAAGACAGCACTAAAATACACATTCAACCAATGAAACATTAATAATTCACATACGTTCCGTAAGTCAGAAAAAAGTGGAATTAGATCTGTACCTACCACCGCTGATGAAGACAGGCTTTCTCCAGCTATCTGGACTAGGTTACATCAGATTGTCTAGTTGAGCATTTCTAGTAGGGAAGTGCTCTCTATCAGCAATCAAGACTGATTTTGAAAGCATACTCTAATCACTTTCCCTACCTGAAAGCCTGGCTTAAATTAATGCAGAATCAACAACAGCAGTTATTCTAAAGGGGTTTTTGAAGGCCTGAGTGTGGAAAGCTCTCAGCACACCGTATTATCACTGCAAGCCAAACCAGCAATTCAGAGATTTGTTCTGTGGAACCTCTACAGTCCCAATCCTGACCAACAGAATTCCCTGATGCAAAGCCCCATCCATCCATCCATCCATCCATCCATCCATCCATCCATCCATCCATCCATCCATCCATCCATCCCTGTGACTGCAGCAGAGCCCGGCCAGTATTATAGGTGCTGTCCTTCCAAAATGGATTATAAAGGAGAACATAACAAGTGTCCAGCAAAATAAGAACTGCAAACAACTTTTGCTTATGTAAACCAAAGATGGTCCTATGTTCTCCAAAGATACTATTTTTTCATTGATCCCATTTAAATAATTGGAAGTTTTCTGAAACTCACAACTTTCTGAAACTCACAACTCCTCAGCAGAAATGTAAAAGTATCCCACTTTGTTGGATACGCTGACCCTGGCAGCTGCTGGTGGGCTCAACACCTGCTTCACTACCTCCCCATTACTCAGAAGAGTAATTCCCAGCTCATGCATCAAAATTCGGCCACAGCAGATCTCCACTTTGGTCTCCCCATCTCCCAGCTAACACGATGATCTTTTCAAGAGAGATGGGTAAGCATAGCAAGACGGGGTATAGCTAAGCCTATAGATGGCACTCTTGCCCTGACACAGCACTGACGGACCATGCCGCGCCCATCCTCCTTCCACTTATAGGAGAGAAGCCGATGTCAGTTAAGAAACCCATGAAAAGCATCAATTCCACAAAGCACTTTTAATGAACATATTCGATTTTATTGTCAACACACTTAAAAACGGAAACCTATGTTCAAAACAATCATTTTTGAGAATACTGAAATACAAAATACTTCACACAGAAGTTTGTTATTGTAACACAAACAGAAGTGAGACACAGAATACGCCAATGTGTATTATATGTGCTCCAAGTCACAAGTTTAAGAACTGTACCACTACAGAACTGTCACACAGGCTTGCAAAGTGAGCATTTGACTATTTTTAAGGATCACCTTTGCATTTCTAATGTTACACATTTACTTGGAAACTTCCTAGCAGTGGACAGAGAACATGATAATTTTGTCTTCAAGGTTTGTTTTGAAAGCACCATGACAACAGACTGTTCAAACTACTTCCTTACAGAGGGAAGTCTAAACAGAGACAATTATTGCAGTTATGGCTTTTTAGGGGTAATGTTATATTATTATCTATGACAGGTTTGTGGATATACAATAACAAGCAAAATCAGTATTTCCTGGTAGTTCCTTCTGGAAATCAAAACCAGCAGTGCCCATTTAAAATTTGTTCCTTTTATACTAAAGAAAGCAAACTCTTATACTCTATACAAATTGCACGTGCTTGGCCAGGGACTGACCAGCTTTCTCTTCTAGATTCTGTAAAACTAAACTAACTGAAACACACAAAACTCCCTTATAGGTTAGCAGCAAAGAAGTTCTGCCAATTTTACACAATAAATAATTTTCTGCTTAATTTAAATTTATTTCCAAAAGAGTGACATGATTAAACAAGTTGTATCAGACAGTGACACGCTCCATCACCAAGACCCTAAGCTTAGTCAGAAGGGGAGAGAGGAATGGACCAAAGGGAAAGGAATGTCTGTTCTAAAATGACCAAAAGATTTATGCTGCACTTTGCTTTTCTTTTACAGGTCCCAAAGAAAAGTTTTCTAAAGCTACCTCAAGGTTACTTCTCACACAAGAACGAGGTTCAAAATTCAACTCTGAACAGTATCTTTTCCTGAAAAACTGAGACATCCCTGCAGTCTGACACTTAATGACATTCCTGGCTTGTAACGAAACCCATATTCATAACTCTCTTCTCATCGTTTGCTTGATCGTTCTTCATGCTTATCCTTTGTGTGCTGGTTCCTGCTTCGGTGCCTTGGAGGAGAGTAGCTGACTCTCCTTCTGGACTGAAAGCTGGGTGTATATGGGTGAATTCTGCATTTCTTTGGTTTTTCTTCTTTCCTGCTTTTGTTTGGCTCAGGCTCCTTACCATCTTCTCTTTGCTCACGTTCTTGGTCTTGTTCTTTTTGAGATGGTAACGTATTTTTGATGGTATTAATAAGAAATCTTTTATTTGTACCAGCAAGAGGACATTTCAACCTGTAAAGACATTTAAAAGTGATCAAAAGACAAGATAAAAACATCCTGAAACAAGTCTGAGATCTTAACGTCAATTATTTTAAGACAGGTTTGTGCACTTGGCTCTCCTTGCATGCCACCTAGTGTAAACTCTCAGTACAGAAAGATATGCTCAAGGTTGTCTCCATTCTCCTTTTATCTTACTCTTTATAGGATGAAAGTTATTCTACTTCAGCACAGTGAAAATCCACGATTTTCACAATGTAATGTGTGCAGGGGGAAGCAGAGGATGAGAATATATTTTAAGGTTGATGGTGCTTTTTAGGTATTCAGGAATCAAATGTTTAGTAACATATTCTAAGTCAAATCAGAATGGTTTATAAGATCATAATCTTCTAAAGTTAGCATTATGTAATGAACTGAGATACTCAGAAAGTAAAAGATACACTTGCATGAAGAATGCAAACAGCTGTAGCAATAAACATGTACGAGGGATAACGATTTTAACTTTTATCTGGCAACCACCAAATAAAATGTTTTATTACTTCTTAAACAGAAAGTATACTTATCCAATTCTTTTCCGTTGTTTCTTTCTCCTCTTTCAACTTAACACTTCTGCACATAATTTATCAGCTAGTTTTAGTAAACAAGTACTGTACATTTCCTTGATCTTGCTGGCATCAGCTGTACTCCACTTATTCCCGATTTATCATCTCTTAAATAATGGAATGAGAAAAATCAAGTTTGAATATATTCCTGCAGTAAACAGAAATCACTCTGAAGACTTTGTTTATAGTGGGAGCCACCATGGTGTTTGTCTTTACAACATTTTTGAGTCTGTATGCTAATGGAGAAGTTACAGGTTTACTCTAAAAAAGCAGAGCTGTTAGAGATCACAGTGCCACTTACTGAATTAACTATGGACTCAACGAATCCTAACACCACAACACTAAGATCATTGCAGGATCAGATTCTAAGATCAATAATTAAGATCATATTCTACCTAAATATTTTGTTTAAGTGTAGAAACTGACCATTTAAAAACCATGACCATTTAAAAACCTTTGACATCTCTGAGTATCAGAGGTATCAGAACAACAAGAAAATTGTAATGAAGATCATATCCGATTATTTAGCATACTTCATGACTTTTAACTGGACATGGCAGTTACCATGGTGTTTTGCTACAGGTCTGCCTACTAAGCATTACTGATACTTGTTCTTGTCCTAAATCCTTAAAAAAATTATGAGAGTAATGTTAGAAGTATACACTAAACAGCTACACTGTTTTATCTTCTGCTAGGTACTTCTTGACACATTTCTACACCATAGCTAGTTTTAGAGCTTTCTAAGCTTTCTGCATATAAATCTACAGTTTTGCTCAAATCCTGTTTTAAAAAAAAAATTTTTGAAGTCTGGATTGTATCTAGTATAGGTGTTTTGTAAATTAGGGAGACAGTATTTATCCCTTAACTGTATTACTGAATAAAAATACAAGGCTAACATATGTTAGTAGAATAGGGTTTCTACTTCAAGCTACATCAGCTACAAACATGGTGCTGAACATGCCATGGCACCAGTTATACTCACAACACAAAACAGCCAACATTTAAGTCCTCGGTATGTCTTATGCCAGCATCACACTGTTGCACCTCAACATTTCCCACCAAGGAGGGCAGCTTTCTCTAGGCTGCATTCAGGCAAAAACTATTTCACAATTTTTTCTGTTCTGTTGCTTTTTCTTTAGAGATAATGCATTGATTAAGCACTAATACATATATAGCACCAGAATGAGACAATCTGCCCCAAATAAATTCGCCTTGCTGAAGTATTTATTTCTTTTTGGCACCGTGAGTGCTGCCTGAGCTATACTAAGAATGAAAACTGATAAGAAGTTCAGGGCTTCAGAGTCAGTTAAGAAATGCCATTAGATCCCTATCAGAGAGTGATAAAAATGAGCCACTGGGCTTTCACAAAGCAGCAGTAAGTTATAGCACTGAAGAGAAACATTAGTCCTTAGTTTTATTGACCTCAGACTTCAAATCAAATTCTGCCTTTAAGTCTTGAAGGAAATGAGATGTATGGCACATGCTACATTACACACACACAAGCCCATAATGTTTACATATATCCATGGTATATATGGAACTGTGAAGATTAAAAGTGAACTATATTAATCCACTGATATCTTTGAGAGCATTTCTAATGGTGAGAAAACTGACCTCCCCAAAGACAAGCCTTTGGCTTGCTCTAGGTCTGATCCTGCAACGCTCAATCCAATGACAGGTTTGCCTTCAGCATAAGTTCTGAAGGGCTGGGAGGTAAGCTCAGCCTATGCAAGGTGGAACCCAATACTGCTGACTAGTAAACAGTGCCACAGAACAGATTTTACAAGCTTTTCTTAAAAAAAAACACAACAAACCAAACCAAAAACCAAAGACATGTTAAAAGAACGTTAAAGCACCTGAAGCAGGGCTGCAGGCATGACCAAAGCACACAACCTGCAATTCTAGAGCAGTCTTGTCTACAAAATGGACTCCAGTTCTGCAGCAACGTATTCACTCCACTGCATGCTCCAATAAGCTAAACCAAGCTATTCTTACTCAGAGAATCTTGTCTCCCTCCACAGATAAGTCCTGCACATCCCAAAACCTCTCTACTGTGCAGTGAAAGTCAACGTTGCATTTTGAGCAAGAAAATAAGATTAAATCAGTTGTTGTGAACACAGGTCAAACCTTTACTTTTGACATTTTAAGCCAATTTCTGTGCAATAACACAGAATTTCCAGCCAATACCTCTCATCAATTGTAGCAGTGCAGTTCAGCACAAAAGTGCACCATACAACTTCTTATCAGTAAAACATGCTGACAGCATTTAAGACCCAAGAGTATAGTGCCATGCACCAGTCTTTCCTCTGCTGAGTAACTGGACATATCAAATATGTTTGGCACAGTCAGCCTCAGCATACAGAGTAAAATTACATCTTTCCAGGAAACAAAGTTCAGTATGGATGAACTTACAAGGACATTTCTACCACTTCCAAAGTGCCATGGAAAATACAGTACTTAACAGAAGAGTGACTGAAGAAAAAAAAAAAAAAAGCAAAAAAAAAAGCAGCTGGAGGTTGTTTTGCCAAATCAACTAATCTAGGCTGTTATCCTTTCACAGGGGATCTCACAAAAGAGGAAGCCAGGGAGGACACTGAAAGCTTTTATATATGGTCCTGGCAGCTAAATACAGCTGGCAGGACTTTGGATGGAAACCTGTGCTCTGATCACAAGATTTAAACATATTTACTTTGCAATCTCTGTCTGTACCCTGTTTCTCCTCCTCTCCAAATGAAAGGCATAGGGGAATCACATTGCAGTGTTTCTGCACAGTCATGAAACACCCATTCAAAGACAAGATGCAATACAGCATTTTGCAGTTCTGGTGCCCTCAAACACCACCTCATCTTATTTTGTATTCTGGAGTACTTCTAACAGATTCAGTATTGAGCAGAAAGCCATCTATAGGAATGAAAGCAATTTTAGGATTGCTTTACAAGAAATAGGGTTAAAAATAATTTAATGCTTCCAAAATGTATCTTCTTTTTTCAGTTTCATCTGCTGTTACTATGTATAGCTGAATAACCATCCCAAAATATCCTGTTTTGCATATCTTATTTTAGGTAAGCTTTTCAAGTGAGCCATGAAGATTACGTTCAGTTCACCCTTATCTCACTTGTGACCAGAATTACATGTTAGAGGAAAAAAAAAAAAGCCTCAAGAACTTTTCCACACAGTAGTTTTTGTGGTATTTTAACTACCTTTCTCAATTAAAGCAGAAAAACCCCTTAAAGTGGGACCCAACTCCAATGCAGTAAGGAAGCTTATGAATTATGTACATCGGACCAACAAAAACACTTAAGGAAAGCTGAGCTTTTAGCTTGCATTTACCCAGGCACACGATGGAAAATCCCTATTCCATCTGTGTCCAATTCTCTCTGGTGAATCAAGGATAAATAAATCTAACCATTTCAAGTGTTCTTACGCTATTTGTCCACAACTCCCCATCCTGGATCCAACTGGTCCTTCAAATGTTAACTTCTAGACAATTGCTCTGATGTCTTTTCTCATTTCACAAGTTCCAGCATCACAGCAGCATTGCTGATATTCATCCACATATTCTGCTCATTATTGCTCAACATTTCCAAGGATTAAGATACTTTCAGAAGAGGATCCTCCCTTCCCCTTGTCTTACACATTTTCTTACTTGTGATTAGCTCTACTGCTTGAACTAGACGCATCATCATCAGGACCTACAGCATGTGGTATAAGGACATAGGAGACCCCCAACAAGAATCACTGTGGCCACACAGTGCACACAAAAGGAGCACTGCAGGAACTACAAATACTGCAGTGCCAAGAGCAATAATCTTGAGGACATCCAAGGAACAAGTCAATATTCAAGAGCTAATAATGAGATCTACAAATATGAATATCCAGTATTTCTCGGTTTAATTTGCCATGGACCTAGATACTGCCAATCTGAGTCCTGAGAGCACGGAGCACAGTAATCTAGAACTCTTAACAAACCAAGAGCTTATGCAGCCCATTGGCAATACCGACAGTTGCCGCATGTCCAGTCTCAGTCCCTTCCCACAGAAGCTCTTGCCTGCTATCACCACCAACTGTTTGGGACAAGCCCTTCTACTACCATCTAACCCTTACAGGTTGCAGCGCCTATCCATGTCATCCACAACAAACTTGCAAGACGTGACACTGACAACATATTCCCAAACTGGAGGAAATAATAGCAACACTGTGTCATATTTCAAGGCTAAGTCTTTATACCACACCGTGGGCTAAAGGATGACTGCTTGGTATGTTTTTTTTCTGCACCTGTTAGCTATGCTAGCTTGGAAGCTTGAAATTTAGGTTCAAACAGCAGTCGACTATCCATCTCCATGAGGAGACAACAAAAAAGTTAAAGTAGGGGTGCTTGGGGAACTTCTTCAAAAAGTGCACTCGAGCTATGGAGAATTAATCACTCTGGACAGTACTGGAGCAGTGGCTTGAACCTGAAAGCAGTCCTAAAACAGCATTCAGAACCTTGCTGGCTAAGGTTTGGCTGGCATCAACACCCACAAGGAGACACTACTCCTCTGTAATGGTATGTACAATATAGTTCCCCAGGAATGCCACCTCCCCACATGCCTCCCTTTAACCAATTCCTGTCAAATGCCTCTGACTCCAGAAATGTATTTCCCAGTATTCAACAGCTGCTGGAGAGCAACATAAACTGGAATCAGTGAAATATGAGCAAGTAGCAGCCTCTGCTTCTCCTTACCCAAAGACAGATGGCAGAACAAATCTTTTCTTCATAGGCCGAGTTGCTTCAACTATCCAGTGCCAATGCAGGATTGATGGCCTTACACTAGGATGTCTCCAGGGTTTGTGCATCTCTTCTCCAGGACTCCTCTGACAAAGGGCTGAGGAAATCCCAGAAGTCCTCATGAAACACACCTGTAAGCATTTTGAGTTTGGCAAGGAAGGAAGGTTTTGTGTTTTACCTGTTAAGACTGTGCTTTTATACAAGTTGGACTTGCCTTCCTCTCAGTAGTTTACAGTTGCAAGGTTACATGTTAGTCTTGGATCTAATCTCTGAAGCCTTTCAGGATTTACTGTAACATAAGTTACATCTGATGGCATTTTGCTGGAGTGTGATAAGTCAACTAAACATAGTTAACTTTCCTTCCAAATAGCTTTCTGGTTATCTCACCTCCTACACAGATTTGTAATACCTAGTTGTTGGGCCAGTTCAGAAGGACCAGAACAGCACAATGGGGCATGAAAAATATTGAAGGGAAGAGAGCAGGTGGCAGCTTCCAGCTGCTGTTCTGTCTCTTGAGCTTGCAGAACTGGGAACTGAAGACTTATTGGGATTCTGCCTATGGGGGCCTTTATACTTTCCTTACAGCCACAAACACCAGCTGTATGCTAGCCTATGCCAAACTGTACAGCATCACATTTGTGATAAATGGGATTACTACCAGTCTCTCTAAGGATAAATTCAGAGAGGGGAAAATCCCTGGAGAAGCATCATATACAAAAAAAAAAAAAAAAAGATCTCTGAGTGCAAGATATCCTGAGCTGCAGACTGCCTGAAGCTGGAATAGCACCTTGAGGAAGTACTGCTACTTCCTTGTAATTTTCTTCCTCCATTTCCTAGGCACTGGGTATTGGCCACTGATGGAGACAGGGCACTGCAGAGATGGATCCTTTGTTTGACCCAGTATAGCTATTCTCATGTTCCTCTGCAGCTGAAAGGATCCTTACTTCAACAGTCTCAGTTCAGGATACCACCATGCCAATCCCTATGTCAACAGTCTTTCTCTGCCTGGAGCCTTCTTGACAATCCTCTCCTACACCTTTAACACAACCCTGGCCTAGTCAGACACTATTTCACTCTACTGGAATCTGCAGCTGTTCTGAAGAACAGGTCACCCTTGGCTATCCCTTCCTCTGGCAGGTCTTGGGCATCAGGCTTTAGCATACTGTGTTACCCCGAGCTGATCATCATAGCCACCTGAGTAGGACCACTACTCTTTTGCAGACAAGATATAAGGAGTAGCCAGAGCCAGGACTAGAAGCCCATACACACTCCTGGCAGATACTCCAGACTGCACAAGTGGCAACAAAGTTGCACAGGGGCACTTGGTTATCTCCCAACAGAACTCTTCAGTCTCCATACCTGCAATTAACTTGCAAATTCACAGTAAATAGATGCATGCAAGACTTCACAGTGCTAATTATCTGCACTGGTTTACCTGGCCATTTGGCAAGGCTGACAGGTAAAAACATGCTGTATCAGTACAGCTATAACCACTCTAGGGGATTAAACCAATTTAACTATCTTAACATAAAGGCTATAAACTGCACCCCTGAAGAAATACTGGGTTATATCTATCTATCTATCTATATCTATCTATATATATCTATATATATATCTCTATATATATAGATATATGTAAAGCCCCAAGCTTGTTTAGAAAACATCAACTTTTTTACAGCAAGAAACTATTTTAATCTCTTCAGAGCCACTGAAACAAACATAGACAAGAAATCAGCCGAGAACTTCATTAACAGCACAGGCTTATCTTTTACTACTGTTGGTAGAGGAAGCCAAACCTTATCTAAAAATGAATTTAACGCAGTCAACTGATGCACTACTTGTGTGAACATCCCCTGATCCAACAGCTTCTTATCAAAGTCATATACATTATTTTAAGATGAATGACTCTCCTCATCATGTTATTACTCCTTTAATTACAATTACATGCATTACATTCCATGATAATCTAGATGTAAAAATTGAAATATTGCATTGAAGAATTAGTACTATATTTCACTTAAGATTTAAATACTTTGATTCTTTTCCCACTTGCAATACAAATTAGCCCCTGGGTTTGAGGATTTTTTTTAGTATTAAAAAATGCCTTCTTCCAAAATTGGATTATACTTTGACTTCATTTTTGGCTGCAATTTACACATGGATTCTCTACCAGGGGATCATTTACTATTTTTATTGTTTTAAGGGTTTAGTTTTTTGTCAGGTTATGAATTCTTTCAACTTAAACAGAATCTAATCCAGTAACATGTGGCCAGTATGTCAATACATGCACACTGAAGCTACCCAGTACTTTAAAGACTAATGAAGTTTCAATCCAAACTTTGCAATTCTATCTATTATAAGGAAATATTATTACAGAAGATATTCTCAGTCTTCCAATTGCTTTAACTTCAACACATTCAGTCAAGCAATTTCATGCAGGTGAAATTTACTTGAAAAAGATTCTTTCCTATCTGGAGTCAAATTTTTGCCCAGACAAATTAATACCTAGATGAAGAAAAATTATTTAAACATGAAGCAAATTAAAAAGTAGAGGCTTCTGTCACACACTAAATGTAAAATTTATTTTGGCATTGGTCATAACATTCATTTCCTCTTGGCACAACTTACCAACCCATAGCTCCCATTGTTTCAGCTCTGGTTCTCCCACGTTTTGCCTCTTTAAGTAATTCTTCCACAGCCTTCCTAAATATGAGGAAAAGGAAAAAAGTTATTTGTGAAACACAAGAACTTGCCACTTTATGCACTTACATAAAGGAAATGGAGAGCTTCTTCACTGCAATGATTTATGCAATAAAGAGGCTACCATAATCACCTTGAGTTTTTTATTAAGATAATTCCGATTCCTATGCACCAAGATTACAAGAAACATTTTGACATATTAAAAACAATTAAAGCTGTTGCAAATACAACAATTGCAACACTAACTGAAGAGTAGAAATAAAGTGTGCAAAACTGGTGTAATACACTGAAAAGCACTGTCCCTGTCACCTCACCTTGGGTATGTTCTTCCCTGCTGTCACTTCACTTGTGTTCTTCCTAAAGTCTTTCAACCACAGCAGACCTATTTTGAGCACAATTAAAACACCACCAGTACAATAGCAAGCAGTCAGATGACAGTAAAATCACTGCAACTACTAGCTGTCAAACTGCACTAGCTTTATGTAACAGTGGAAGAGCTCATCTTTGTGACTATGATCTACCACCATCCAAAATGGCCAACCTTTACATTACCAGCATCTTCTAGAACAAACTGACCAGACTAACACTAAAGCAATTAAATAACTATGCTCACATAAAAAGTCATCAGAGAGTGTAAATTATGCAAATTATAGATAATTTCTTCAATCTCAGTCTTTCAGTTCTCTTCATGAATTAATTTCAATCTCAAATAAAATTTAAGTAACTGCTCTTTAGTACATGGTTGAAGTTAATGGTAAAATCAATGAATGGGTAACGTAAGCCTTTTATTATATAAATTGAATGCATAAACTAACAATTTGGTTAGTTAACTGTAAGCAACTATATATGTCAACCAAAGATAACTGCAAGACAGAAAAGTAAAGCTATGTACCTGTCTCTAACACCTAGTATACAAAGCTAAGCATTAACAGCACTGACATGGGTAGCACTGAAGGCTTGAGGAACTGAAGGTAGGAGGTAATAAAGAGGGTATTTATTGTTTAGGTCTCCCAGCTATGATGTGCCAGAATGGTTGCTAGTGTTGGGGCTACACAAGCAATACAATCATCACCTTGATAGTACAAGTGTGTGTGTAGACTGTGCAAAAAAGGTAACTGCCAACAAGACTTCAACTCATACTTCAAGGAAGCCATGTCTCACCACATCGTCATGGTATTAACAGCATAGCAAGATTTTGCTGTTTTGCTACAGATTAAAAAAAAAGGCTGAGTATCAATTTTGTTGCCAAGCTAAAATTGAGACTAGGGAAGCGAAGAGTCATCATCCAATAGCAGAAACAGGACTGAGAAAAAAGCAAGCAATTTATATGGCAGGTCCATGCGAACATCTAACAAGTTAATGCTGGGCTCTAAACATCTAACAGAGTGGTTTATTACCATGTAGGTTATTAAAGTCTACAAAGAAAACACAAGAGGTCTTAGTTTAAATGCATACACTGCATATGCACAACAGGGAATAAAAATAAGCAGTACAGAATTTCCTTCAGCAGCTAATGAGAAAACATTATGCAATTACACAGCAGCCTACATCTGTCAGTCTAGATCTAACCTTCTTCAGTTTGTTATGGTCTTAACATAGATTTTACCATCTCCCTTCACTTTTGTGATCATGGATTCATTCATCTGTTAGGAAAGGCTGGTGACACTTTATAAACACAGACACACTTTTTCTTCTGTCTGTATTGCTTTTATGCATGCTTTAGTTTTCCCTGGCAACAGGAAACAAATTGGTACTAAATGAGTACAAGTGTAATGGAGACCAAGGTGTAGTTACTCTTTCTGCAGTTATTTTTCAGTTCTGCTTGAACACAGTTTTCATATTTTACTTCTGACCAGCTATCACAGAACTTCTTCCTCATTTTAGAGTAATTCCCCACAAGCAATACTTTAGCTAAAGATTCCTAAACAAGCCTCCAGAATCAGTCACAAGTTCTTAAACAACATATAAATAATCCTTGATCAACTTACTTATATATTCCTTTGTTCCATGGGGAAACCATTCCATCCAGCAAAAGCTGTGCCAGACAGACATGCAAATATTCACAGGTCATAACTTTCTCCTCTGAGAGTTTGCATCTGAAGGGCTTTGCAAAGGAAAGCATCCACGACTTCCACAGAAACCAACAGTAGAGAAACATCGCAAAAATTGTAGTATTGCTTCTCGGCAATTGGTTTAAGGTTCCTCACAGAAGTCTCTCTCTCATATAAGGTTATTAGTATGATCTCAGTAGCAGCTGGGCTTGGGGTACTTCAAATCCATTTTTAAGCATACATTGGACTGTGAGGACATTGCACATCCAGTCACATCAACGGCATTCATAGAAATTGAGTATCTGCCCAGCTGTTCAAGTTACCTGCACCTAGATACTAAGTACAGCATCAGCAACCTTGCCAGTTACTGCTGCTTTCCCAGGTAGAGGCAGTGGGGTATGTGCGACGGCTCCTCCCCGAGAACAAAAGAAAAAAAACAGGTAAGAAACACAGATTCTACCACTGGAATGTGGAAGATGTTGCATACAGAGTCTCCATGAAATTATGCAAAATTTATTTTTTCTCCAGACCCCAAATTTGCTGTCTAAGCAGCCTGAGCTAGTCTATAGTGATGACAACAGGACATGCAGCTTTTATAAAGTTCATCCTGAGCCTTCAAACAGCAATGTCAGAAAAAGGGGAAGAAAGAGGGGGGAAAAAAGTGACTTTTACTTACCACAGTTACCAAACTTGGTGATTTTGTTTTGAGAAACCTGACCAAGAGGTAGATTAAAAGCCTGTCATTACTATTATAAAACCTGTCATTATTTTATAATTAAAATAATAAACCAAAGTATCTGAGCTACAAAGCACTAATAAAACACACACACATACATATTTTAAACAGCTATAATTCAGTTTTAGGGGAAGCATCACAATAAATTAATATGGTGACATCAATTCTATTAACTTAGGTAGGAATTATAAGCCATTAAGTATTTCAGACTCTTTTTTTCCCTCTGGTTACATCAAAGATCCGACTGACCTGGCATCCATCTTAGTAGCCTTTTAAGTCAACAACTTCCTTTCTTACCAAACATGGTTTCTAGTATTGGTCTTTCAATATACCTCTTATTTGCTGCACCTTTACAAGGCTCTTTTGACTTGCACAATGTGCTGGGTTTGGGTGGTGGGGTTTTGGGTAGCAGGGGAGGGGGCTACAGTGATGGACACCTGTGAGAAGCTTCTTGAAGCTCCCCCTACTCCAAGTCGTACCCAACTTCGCACCACAGCCAAGCCAGTTAGCAACGGTGGCTGCACTTCTGCGATATATTTAGGAAGGAGAACCTGGAGAAAGAGTTGGAGTTGTGAGGACACCTATATGAACACCAAGGTCAGTAGAAGAAAGGATGCTGTGGTGAGACAGTAGGGCTTCCTGCCCCTCACCAGAAGTCCACAGTGGAGCAGATTCTGATCTGGGGCCTGTGGAGGACCCCACAGCGGAGCAGGTGGCTGTGCCTGAAGAAGGTCAGGACTCTGTGGGAAGAAGCTCCCGCTGTTTTAGTTCATCACTGGGAGGATTACAACACATGGGAGCAACCTGCACCAGAGCAGCTAGGGAAACACTGCAGCCCATGGGAAGGACTCACGTTGGAGAAAGTTCATGAAAGGCTGAGGGAACCACACTGGAGTACAAGAAGAATGTGAGGACTCACCCCCTCCCCAAGATGAAAGAAATGACAAGACTGATCACACCCCTCATTCCCTGCACCGTTGGCAGGAAGGAGGTAAAGAGATCGGGAGCAGAGCTGAGCCGAGGAACAAGGGAGGGGTGGGGAGAAGGTGTTTTTAAGATGTGATAATGCTTCTCACTGTCCTACTCTGCCTGTTTGATGCTGTTGTTGCTAGTGTCTGAATTAAATCTATGTTCTTTTCCCTAATTAGTCTGTTGTCCTGGTTCAGCCAGGATAGAGTAAAGTTTTCCCCAGCAGAGAGAGAGGGGGAAGGGATCTCCAGCCGGGTTATTCATACCATGCTGACATCAAGTCCAGAGGCGGAACCTTTTCCTTGCTCCTTGGTGGGTACGGGAGGGAATTTTGCTTTCCGTAAACCAGCTAGTGGTATTTCTCTATATATCATTTGTCTTGTTCACTGTTATTGCTGTTTATTGTTGTTTACCATTGATACTGTTGTTATTCAGATTGTTCTATCACTCTGTTGTATTAAATTTCTTGTTATTTTAGCCGGGGTCTGTGTCTAACTTCCAGCCCGACCTGCGCGGGTGGGGGAGGGGCAACAGCCACGTGGTCCCTGATCCCGACAACGATTAAAACTTGCACAGTCTGTCTTTTGCTTGTGACCATAACAGGTGGATCATCCCTCCCTGTACTCATCATGATCCCTGAGCCTTTAACTTTATTTTTTCCTTCCCCATCCTGAGGAGGAAGGAGGGAGTGGGCAGCTGCAGGGTTCTCAGTTGCCCTCTGAGCTCAAACCACAACACACAAAAAAAATGAAAAAAATGCTCAGTCCTCTTTGAAATAATGTGTTTCCACTCACTGAACTTATATCCTCTGCACAAGTAAGCCAAAAGCTTAAAAGCTATGCAAACAAGGTTTTTACATTTGCTTTTAGAGGCCTCTCGGGATTCTGCATTCCTCACTCTCTTCATTTTTACATCTTAGTTACAATCCAAACAGTCCTCTGGCTGCCAGCTTCAACTCCAACAGCAGCAGCATGAGCAAAGGGAATGTGGCATGCAACTTTCACATGAGAACCACCCAAACAACAGGGGACTGACAAGAGGGAAAATTAGGAACAGGGACACATTTAAGAACACCATCATCATTCTGGCTTCTTTTATAGCAAGCACCACTCAAAACTTGCTGTGGTAATCCTTTTTGAGCAATCAAGTTTAGTTGCAGAATTACAGTAATGTGAAGGTATAAGTAGTGATGTTTTTTATCTTCAAGAGTATAGTCTAAGACCTATTTACATTTCTGAGGGATTAGACTTTTTCTTCTAATATTCCAAGGTTACAGGCAAAGCTCCTGTTGCATAAATCCTAACAACTTGCATCACAGACTGCCAAAAGTGGAAGAATGTTAAAGACTCTAAATTCAGGCAAAACCAGAAATATTTTCTATTCCTCACTCTGGGAAAGAGCTTCATAATTTTTTCCAAAAGATCAAATAGACCAAAAAAATGAGTAATTGGTAATAAAGAGGTATGTCTGATACAGTTACAGGCAATGAAAACACAGTGTCATTACAGAGACCACCCAGTGTTTGTAATTATACACCACTCTGTTAGGAGAAGACATCATGCTGCATCTGACAGCTGAGAGGCCAAGCAGCCACAGCTCCATGCCCAGGTCCAACCAGCAGCAAGGCTGAAAATCCACTGCCAGCAGGCAGACACACACACCCCAAGTATATGGCACTGGCCACACGGATCACAGACACACAGAGCACTCACGCCAACAACTTCATCCTGCTCTTCTCTCTGGCTGGGTGTAGGAGCCCCTGAGGCTTCAGCCCAACTGCACTGCTGGTACAGCTGGTCACACAGAGCTGGCTGGGACTCCCTGGTCCCCCAGTACCCAACCCCACTGCAGTCTTGCCTGTATGTCTCGCCCATGGAGACCCTCTGACCCTACAGTCTCTGCTGCCCAGGACTCCCCAGTGTCTCCTCCCAGGGTCTTGCTCTCAAGAGATACATGCTCACCTCCCAGCTCCCACCTTATTCACCCGCTCACCACCTGATCCAGCTTGATCTTCACTAACAGCCACACACTTTCTCCAGTACTGCAGCACAGATAAATAGGTCCCCAACTCCACTCCAGCAGCTGACACTCAGTTTTACTCACTCCATGAAGTGTCCCCGGTTGCTGGCACCCAGCTTTCCAATCCAAGATCCCAGCCCAACTGCTGGCATCCAGACCTGCACTTGTTCCAGTTGCTGGCACCATGGACACATGGTCCCTCTGACACATGGTTTGGCTCCAGTTGCTAGCCCTGAGATGTACACCTTCTCCCCTCAGTCACTCACCCAAGAAAGAGTCAGAAAAGAATTTAACAGGAAGACAGGACATACTGCGCAGATCAGGCACAGGGCTCAGTCAGACAAGTGTACCAGCCAGCAGCCTATTCACAGACATACAGATCTTTTTATCCCCTTATTACTCTATTTTCCCACTCTTGCTTCTCCCCAAACCACCTGAACCTATCTCTTTCCTCACCTTTGGTTCGTCCCCTACACATCACATAATAAGCCTTACACAATCTCAAATCTCTTCCCCTGCATCCCACAATGCATCCCACACCCCTAGGCAGCAACACCCTTACATCCCACAGGCACTCCAGTATTGACTCATCTTGATGGGTGTCACACCTGGAGACCAGCCCGGGACCAGCCCTGGCAGGGCCCAGAGAAGATGGTCATTCCTCTGAGTCTCTGTGGCAGGGCTCCCACCTGCCACTGTACACCCCTGCTCCTATGGGCTCAAGGAGACGAACCTCTAATGGGCTGGTGGCTCCTGGGATGGGCTTGGGAGAAGCCAGGGCTGGACACTATTTGAGGTCCCCATCCACCATGGTCCCCCTTTAGTCCTCTGTGGGTGTGCCCGGGAGCTGTCAGCTCATAACCTAACAAACTCTGCCACCTTCACCCACGCCATCATCTCATTAACGATCCCAATAAGAACTCTAATGAAAGTATATCTGCTGGAATTGCTTCACAGCATGCAGTCGGCTACAGGAGTGCACAGACGTGGAGGAGGAGGAGGGTAGTGTTCATACTCAACATCTCCCAGAGTCAGTGAAGGGGCATCTTTATCAAACACATCTTCATAAAAGACCTTCATAGCATTAATAACTGCATGCAGTCTGTACCACTACTATTCAAGCTCAAAGGCCAGGCTGCTCAGCTACTGCAATCCCCAAAATGATGCTCCTGAGGCACTGTAGGTCCTGACAGCAAGCTGCAAGCCCAGGAAAAAAATTAGCAGGTTTTTTTAAATCAGTTTTCTCAGCATAGTTTTATGCTGACTATACAACTTATTTTTAACTATGTATGGGATTGGAAATAGAGGTGGATGTTGGTATTCTGATTATATCTGAATAATTAATATCAAGACCTTCAAGTCAAGTAAAGGACTGAAGATAACTGCCTTCTACAATAAAGGAATGGTAATGAAGGCCAGTGTTATTTATAATTAACTCCTGTAAGCTGGTTTGTCCTATCTGCTCACACGTACTATGAAAACTGATGAAAAGGAATGTCAAGAATAAAACCTAAACCACAACATTAAGAGCAAGAATGAAAAAAGGTACAAAACTTCCTAACGTTTGTTCAAAGGCAAAGATACTCCACATCAGGTATGTGAATGCTCTCATTCTTTTGTCAATAAGGTTTCACACTTATTTAAATATTCTATTTGTCAGTCCCATAAGTGCTATTTGCAGCATGTTTCTGTGCTAATATTCTCACTAGCTTGAGTAGTGAACATACCACATCTCAAACATCACTTTTAGCTTGCAGACCACTTTTTTTGCCATGAATATGGGAAAGAACGGCATACTGAATCCTGATACTTCAATTTCAACTCTTAAAAATAATAGTAAGAAGGATCAACTAATTTCTCCAAGACACAAAGTTTACTTGTTAAAAAGTGTACTTGGGATGCTTGTGCAGCAAAAATACTAGATACTGACTCGACTCAACTCAACTCCAGGCCTCTTGTTACAGAGTTCTAGCATTCCTTGTGATTCAGAGCAGCATCTCCTTAGGAAACATGTAATTCCAAGTAAATGATGCTCCAAACAAGTTTGGTAGGCACTCTGAATAAGGTACGGTATCCAAGGTTGTGAAATACAGCTGTTCGAAGAGAATGCATTACAGAAGGATTTGGACACACAGTATAACAAAGCCACTTCCTTTACATTTGCAGTGAAATTACATGTTTTATGTGCTTCAAACACACAGAACAACTACGACTACAATTTAGGAAGGAGAGGTGGAAGAAAAATATTTTTAGGTAGGGCTGAAAATGTTAACCTCTGCAATATCCCAAAGGATATTTAGTTGAAATAAACCAGGAAAAACACAGATGGCTGCTTGCAGGGGAAACAAACTAAACAGTTCCTATTAGCTGATTTGTAAACTTTTTTTTTTTTTTTTTTTTTACTCACTTTTGGGTCATAACTTTACAATACCATTAATTATATATTAACAGAATTTAGCCTAGAATTTTCTTAGAATCACACTGTAACTAAAGACTCTGGGTCTTCAGTGATGTACCAGCAAGTTCACAGAAAAAAACCTTCAAAGGTTATTGGGTGACATGAAGCAGAGAAAATAATTCAGTAGAATGTAACAAATATTACCATTCTACACACCTGTGGTATTTACAGCTTTTAGAGTTTTAAAATTCAGAGTACGCAACAGTCACATGGTAACTTGTGAGTTAGTATTCAGCTTTGATAGCAACTATCACTTCCTATTAAAGTGAGGAAAACATCAACTGCAAGGTCAAGCAAGAGTCAGACACGGTAAAACTGAAAAATATTATCAGGAAAATGTGGCAGTAAGGACGAAATAGAACAAGCAAGATGAAAACACATCTCCTTAGATAATAAAAAAAATAGGACGACTAACTGATCTTAACAGATCACTGTTTGGAATACTGCAACACAAAATTCGCTTCAGACCTGAAAAAACATGCACAAAAATAGTTAACACTTCTTTTTCTCACATGGTAAAGTCAATAAAACCTATACATATAAAAACCTCAAGCTGTTATATAAGACGTGTGCCTTGTAAGACAAGCCTGAATTCAGAGACAGAATACTGAAAATATTCTAAAAAAACTCATTTTTAAACACTAAAAAGTCTACCTAAAATAGTAATGTGGTTACAGAACAGAAATGTCATTATTTTTACACTAAAGCCATATTATAAACAACCTAAAAATTATAAACTTTAACTACCATGACTGTACTACTCACAGAAGAGTATGATCAACTGGTCATTCAGTATGAAACTAAGGAGTAATGTCTATAAACCAAAGGACAAAGAAAGGTCTGTATTAGACTCTTGAAGACTGTACAGGGAACCATACTTAAGAGCATGAAATACTCAACTATGACATCTAAATGCATCTAGCAAGAAGTGAATTCAGGGTGCTACTAGCAAAGTGAGCTGTTATGAAATCTGAGGGTATGAAAAAGTAACTAATGATCCAACACAAGAAAGTGATTATTGGCAAGTACACTGTATTGTGCTTATAACTTGTTCAGAACCGATTAAACCCATATGGAGGTGAACAGCTAAATCCTCCCATGTTCCACTCAGTAATACTGAGCTTCATCCTCATCACCCACCGTGCTGCCACAGAAAAGGAACAGCAAATCCCAAATCAGATTGAAGCTATGAGGCAGGACACAACTTTGAATCTGGTTCCTGGGAAGGAGAACATCAGAAGGAGACTGTGGAGCAGTCAGTGCTAGCTGGTGAGTGAGCAGCTATGCCCTGAACTGCCTGAAGAACCCAAGTCCCCCGCACTGCAACGGCAGCCAGAAGACAAGACAGTACAGAAGAACAGTGACATGGTTCCAACTTGATATGAATGAAAAAGGTTTAAGTTTGGAACAGCACTAGTAAAAATAACATTCATTCATACATAGAAAGAAGTGTTTATTATACTGATGATCTGAGAGCAGAAGTAGCTTACCAAGAATTAAAGGCCTCTTAGAAAGCATTATGGTCTCTAGCCTTTCTACCACCCCACTGCTATTGCTTTTGTTTCATTTAAAATATTTCTCAGATATAAACATAAACAAGGTATTTACTATACACACTCTCAGACACAGTTTCTTAAAAATAAAGGGAGAGAACCAGAAGAACAGTTCAAAAAGCTTCTGGTCATCACTTCACTGGAACAGTTTTTTAAAATATCCGTAAGAAAAGTGCAGTTACTCACAAAGAAGCTTGCAAAAAAAAAAAAAAAAAAAAAAAAAAAAAAAATTTGTGATATAAACGCCTGAAGTCTATTCCTAAAGCAAGAGGCCTTCTATGACTGAATAACCACATACAGAAACCTGAATTTTAATCCTCAATGTTTGCTTGTGAACACTGCAACTCGTATGCACAGCGAGATGAATCCTCTCATCCCCACGAAATGCAAAGTAGAGAGCAATTTTATTTTGTGACAAAGTAACTGACAAGCATTTGTATTATTCCATACAAGGAATTGGGTAATTTTAAGTCAACTAGCACACCTCCAACACTGAAATCTGAAATCTGTAAGAACAGAAGTTTTGGGGGTTTTATGTTTTACCAAGTACACCTAATCACCAAACTATAACTGATGATAGATGGGTCCCCCGACACATTTCAACCCTGTTTTTAAGTGGTACCTACATGCATCACAAGAACAGATTTTTTTTTTTTTTTTGTAAGTACTGGATTTTCCAATAATAGTCGGAATATTTATGTTCTATTGCAACACTCTCAGCGAGGGCTCCAAAGTTTTGTCCCGGGGACTGCGCACAAACCAGCTGCGGGCTGCGCACCCCTCGGGACGCGCACTGACGGCAGCCGGAGG